CTCCCTGCTCAGTGGGGAATCTGCTTTTCCTTCTCCCACTCCCCCTGTTTTGTGTTCCCTCTCTGGCTGTCTCTCTCTCTGTCAAATAAATAAATAAAATCTTTTAAAAAAAAGTATAGGAAAAACCCTAAATTATCAGGTTAACCATTTTTGGTAATTTTGAGAACTTTTTTAGATCTTCTAATTAGATTAGGCAACACCTTTTCACAAATTTGACAATTGAAATTCATATATTGATGACATGCTTTTTCTGTTTAGATTTTTAAAACTATTTTAATAGATATAATTAACAGCCTTGTTTTCTAAGTGATAAATATGAGAACTGGACTGTTGGCAGGTTTTGCAAAACTTCTAAAGTAGCCGACGTCGATATAGGACATACTATTTACTTGCCAAGACTTAATATTTAAATAATTTAGCTTCATCAGCTTTTATTAAGTTCTGCTGTTTCATGTACACTCTGAGGACAGAAATGTACTATTTACACAATAAACACTGATGAATATGTACTCAGTACAACAAATTATGCTACATATAATGAAAATCAAATGAACTGTTCCCATTCTTTAGAATGTTTATACAGAGTTTTCCAACTCTATATAAAGCAGGTAAGAATTCATACATATAAAATTATGGCAAAATTTGTGCTATATGCCAAAGACAGATGTTCAATAAATAGTCTGTAGCCCTATAAGATGTGTAAGGAAAGAGTATGTGGCAATGGAGATGATCACAAACATCATGTAAAAGGTAGCACTTAAAAAGAGCCTTGGAGCATGGACAGAATAGGAATTATTAAAAACATTTTCCTTCAAAAAAAAATAGTTTCCTTTCCTCCAAGTCAGTCTCATGAAACGTAGGATGCGGTTTTTGTCTCCAACTTCTCGTTCATCTTAAAGGGACTTGCATAAGATTTTCTAAATAATTTTTAGGTAACGTACAATTGTCATTTTGAAATAATTTCACTCCAAATATTCCTTTATTTTAAATGAAACATATAGAGTTGGAGTTTAAAGAAATATTACCACTCTTCTAAATAACTATTTGTTCAGTGTTGTCATGATTGAGATGCAAAAAAGGTCAATTTTGCTTCTTTTGATTATTAGTTTTTATTTATTGTCTCCCTAAATATGTGTAGCTTTAGGGTGTCAAGCACAAGTTTTATATTCTGATCACAATACAAATATTCCTTGCCACAGTGTGTGACAAAAGGAGTGCCATGAAAAAATAAGTACCCTGTGTTTTCCAAATGCATTCAGATTAAATCCAAATTCCTTATCAGGGACTGCAAACTTTTTTTCCCCAGTAACTTACACTTCTTGTCTTTTGGCTAGGATGCTTTTCCTGAAAAATTTAGAAACAGATAACAGTTTCTCAAATGCAAGAAATTATAAATAGGTTAGTATGGTTGGAGATTGTGAGTGTGGGAAGAGACTACATCTGAAGGAATTCTTAGATATTGTGTGGAAACTTGTAGACTTTGCTAGCATTTTGTAGTAAAATTAATTGGAGTTTCCCAAAAAGGACCTGATCAAATGCTGTTGAGAAGGATGGGAACAAGATGACTGCAATCTTAACAAAAACAGGTTCAGGGGAGTGGATTGTGCCAACGTGTGATTTAAAATAGGAACTAGAGATGCGTGTATGGAAAAGTAATTTAAGAAATTGTGTTCTGCAGGGAAGTGAAACTAGTAGCTACAGGGTAAATTGAGATCAAGTGAGATTGAGAATTTATGGTTATTATTTGTTTTCTTTTGCTTCACTTTGTTTCCATTGAAAAATTCTGGAATATTGTACTGGGCTCATGTGAATGTCTAGGTGAGAGAAAGAGAGAGACCACAGACAGACAGAAATGGAAAGACAGAGACTGAGAGAGTCTGAGCATGTAGAAGGAATAGTAGACACTTGAAATATTTACCCACAGAGGATAGAGATGAGGTTCCTAATTAAAATAAAGATATTTTCCTTAGATAGAATCAAAAATACCTGTGCATTTTAATGGGAAGAAAGGTAGAGAGGGTGGCTACAAGTGCATTTAGGTTTGGAGATTTGGTGGCAGGAAAATAAACAAGTTCCTCTAACGACTTCCATTTTCTCAGCACAGAGACAAATGTAACCAGCTAGGAATCACAAAAGAACAGAGCTTCTAAGGAGTAAGAAGAGAGAGAAGAAGCTACAAAATCATCATGTTGATGCCGGAAACTAAAGTTAACTAAGGAAATAATACTAAGATTGTCTAGCAGCATTGTATGTACCATTTGGATTTCGGGCCATGATTTGAAGGCAATGAATAATTACATATATATGTAGTTTTTTCTTGGATAATATTGAGTACACTGCTTTCCTCCCTAGATCTCTATTTGGATTTCTTTAGCCACCTCAAATTAAAGAACACTTCAAACTTAATTACTATCTTCCTCCAAATGCATTTCATATCGAACATTCTCTGAGAAAATGGCTCGGGTAGTTCCTGTGCAGTTTAAGCCAAACACCTCAGAGTCAGCCGTAGGATTTCCCCTCTCACATCTGACCATTAAATAAACCATGAAACCTCGTTGATTTTACCTCAGACTGATCACCTAAATTCACCTACTCTCATCTATCACCATTGAAACCACTCTTGTTAAACAAGAGTCTTTTTTCGGCACAGTGCAACAGAGGCAAAAGGACCAATTGCCTCCATCCCTGCTCCTCTCCACTCCATTATCCACAGTGCTACACTGTGATGTCTCAAACATCATTGCCATCCTAGTATTTTCCTGCTTAAAATTTTATAATGACCTCAAATAATAAAACCTATAAGGTGTGGTCTGGTGTCCTTTTCCCTAACTTTATCTCTACCACTTTAATTGTACTCTCACCCTTATCAACTCTTCAGTTTCTTCTATCTCCTTATTTCTTCCCTGTTTTGGTCCTTTGCAAAGAATTTGCCCTTCTAATGCAGTTCAATACACTCTAATTGTCCCCCTAATGTAAAATGGATATGCTTCCTTTTTAATTTTTTTAACATCTCAACAAAGACAGCTTCCTAAGGAAGTCTTTTTTTGACATCCCAATCTAAATTAGATGTCAATGTTCACTCCCATGATCTTTCTTTTTTTCTAGCATAACAATATTTATAATTAGTCATGCAGTACTTTTAAGACTCACAAAGGCAAAGCCATTTCTATGTTGTTCACCTCAGTAATCTAGTACAGAGCGAAATTTTTGGCCTATTACACCTGCTGAAAGCATTTTGCTGAACTACTGACCAGAAAGATACACTTATCTACTTTTACTTAAATTTATATTAATTAGCTTCCAAAGTTTCCATGGAGGGTTACTAAGTGTTATATATGATATCAAAATAAGTTTTTAGGTTAAAAGGCGTTCAATAAAATAAAAGAACTGGCTTTTGTTTCACAAATGATTATCAAATTCCAAATATGCAGAATTGTGGACTGACACTTCATGTCTTTGAAAGTAAATAGCGTTTAAAGTGAAAATGGTTTTACTGAAGAGGATAAAAGGAGAAAAATGGATAACTTAGCTAAGAATGGTATTGACTGCTACAGCAATCCTATTATAAGAAAAATAATATTTTAAATCTTTTCCTAACTATTTAACTACAAGAATGTCCCTAATACTATCAAAAAGCTCTTCTTATCTTTCAAATACCTTCACATTCTCTCTGAATTTATAAGAGCATTAAGGCTTCGCTATCGCTATAATTAGATCTACTGAAAAAGTACCTTCTCATTTTTGTCAATTCCTGATTATTCATGGTGATGGCAGAAAGCCTTAGCATGGATTACTAAAACCCCAAATCATTTATACCACACGAAAATTAGCCCAAATTCATTATGTCTATCAAAAACTTCTGTTGAAATATCAGTTCACCTTTGAGCTTCAGCAAATTTCCATTGATGCTTGAATAAATGCTCTTAAGCGTATGTGCTGAGTTTTGAAAATAGAAAAAAATACATAGTTGATTAATTTTACGTAATCTAAACCCTAAAAAGTAATCAAACCAACACTTTGGTGTCTTTAGCCCATATTGGGCAACTGGAATGAAAGTTTGACTTTATTAGCCATTGAGAAGAAAGAAAGATTCAAAAGGTTAGGGAATGAGCATCATAAAAAGATTTACTTTGTAAGCACTTACTTAAACACTAACAGAAATGTTAATAAAAATATCCAGAGCACATTTTCTGTATGTGATTCTGAATAGTTCAGTTACAATCTTCATGCCATGTCATTCATTCATTTATGCATTACGTGATAATTTATAATCACCTACTGTGGTCAAACACTGTGAGAATTATTATGAATGCAAAATTAAATAAGACACAGTTTCTACCCTTTATAGATCATTACAATTTGTACAGTATGACTATGACTGATATTAGAATAGATGCATGTCGCGTCAAATAAAAGTCCTAAAATGGAGTAAAATATGAAGTAAATGCCTATCATCTGACTCCCCTGAAGTCAATATAATGTGAATGATACACCAGCTCATCCCTGCGGTCTCCCAAATCCAACAAAATTTGTGAAGCTCTTAACATCCACCAATTAATTAATTTATTTATTCAATAACTAATTTTTGAGGACCTACGATATCCCATACCATTCTATAAGCATAGGGTAAAATTATTATTTTTCCACAAAATTCTGTTAATAATACCATAAATGAAATTTATACTCAAAGCCCTGCTTCAGTTTTAAATACATCTAAGAATTTATCTTTTGTAATATCATTTCTTATAAGCTCCTGCAACATAAAGACCACTAAAAATACACACAGTCCAGACATGTTTAATTTAAATCCTTAAATATTTGATTATCTGAATGAATAGCCTGGTATTTATGATTCAGAAGCTTATGAATCATTTCTGAAATTAATGGCAATATTGTGTTATATGTGATCTGTGTATACTCATCAAAATAATGACATTATTCACAAAACAAACACCGCATCTGTTCCAGGGAAAAGCTTAGTCTCTTATTTCTTTTGACAGTGTGCAGACCTGGGTTCTTCAAAGCCTCACCTCACAGCCAGAGCTGCAGCAAATGTCCACCTCACAGTTATACCCATGAGGAAGCTTCAACCTCTTGTGTCTGTGAAAAGGATTATTTCAGGAGGGAGTCTGATCCACCCACAATGGCATGCACAAGTAAGGAAACCCACTGATATCTGGTGATGTTCACCACTTTGAAGAGAGAGCATGATGGAGCCTGTTACATCCTGTTACTATTTTCCTTAAAACAGGCATAATGTTTAATCTTCCAAAACATATTTTTTTTAACCAAATTTTGATTTTCTTAAGTAAGCACGGAAAAGTTGGAATCTCTTTTATTACTCACTGTTAGAAGCATTCATTTTCCCTAATTTCAAATTCAACATCGGGGACAGATAATTTTTTTCTTTTATTTTGTAATTTCTTTTCATGTCATGACAGGTAAACATGACTTTGATAAACCCATTTTCCTTTTCACCGTAAACCGTTTTTTTCATTCTTTGTTCTCTCCCGAGCCTGGCTTCTGATCACATAAACATGTAATAAATGGTATTTTTTTTTTTTTTTACCTAATTTCCCCCACTAAATGACAAAAGCCAATGAGAAAGTCATTTATGAAAGAAGACAGGAAACACTTCCAGAACATGGAATACTGGGGGTTGGCAAGTCAGATTTAGGAGTCAAATAGAAAAAATCTTTAGATAGGACTTTTAAGCAGTTACCATGTTTCTTATAAGTGAGGGTCCTTAACTATTATTTATTATATGATTCCATAATCATATAATTAGAATGATGAATAGTAAACATTTAATTTCAACATTTGCAGTGGAAGCATCCACATCCAGTGATGTTTTGGTCTTTTAGTTTTTCTGCTATTCCACATATTTCTGAGAAGGAAACGCACTTATGTATTTGTTTGTTTGATAAAAATACTTTCGTAAGTTGTCTGCATACAAAGACTCTATGGCAAATCAAACCAAAACTCAGAGTGGAGGGAAGAAAGGGTATCCCCTCTCCGCTAAGAGTCGGTATCCATGACCTTGCCTTATTTTACTATTTTTGATGCCAGCAAACTGCATTTGCTCTCAAAGATGATGACAAAAAGTGTTGAAATTTAGTATTCATTCTAGTTCATTCATTCTAGTATGAAATATAACAGACATACAGTTGTTTGAATCAAATGACCACAAACTGAAATTTTATCTGAATTTTAGCATCTGAATTTTATAGTGTCAGCAAGACATATTTTCATAATTTCTCATATTGATATTAGCTATGCATTATGAAAGATCATTCTTTTATCACAAGACTGATCATTTTATGGGTTTGATGATTACTAATTGTAAATAATTCCTTTTCAAGTAAGTAAATGACAGTATTATATACACTTTTAGGAAGATGCAGTTGAATAGAGGAGATGTAAACTATGATTGAATGTGATGTGTTTTGGTTACAGCAGAGATTATTTTAATTATCAGAGCAAAAGAATGCCCAGAGAGTAAAGGGGAAATGTGGACAGACAATAGAATGAATTAGGGAGAGAAATAGGGAGAATTAGAAATTAGGAATAGAATTAGGGAGAGAAAACCGTACCTTGAATTATCTTTTAAATTTCATTAATTTCCTATAGTTATTTTAAGTGTCCCAGTCATGATCTTTCTGTTTCTCAGCATAAAATTGAGTCTCCCTTTCTGTAAGTTTGCTAGGTTTGGGGTGATGGATAAGCCTGTGCTCTGGTGTCGGGGACTGCTTACTCCCATTATAGGACTTGAGGCTTCAAATTTTCTGTTTCCAAGTGTGTGAATTTCTAGTACTGTGTTTCAAAGAACACTAATTTGTATGCATTTCTTGAAAACACTATTGGGACTTGTGTAGATCATCTTTCTAATATATAATCCATGGGTATGTTTGTTCCATTTTAGTTGCATTCGTAACACCACAATACTGCATATGACCCCCTTGCATGGATGGCTTGACTTATGTTCACATGTTCATATGAAAGTCTGGAATTTTGCTTTCCCTGGGCGCTTTGGAATGAAATTTATGGTTTAACTTCTAATAATTTTTGATATATATATATATATATGTATATATAATATAAATATATAATATTTATTATAAATACATAAATCTTGAAAATAGAATGTTACAAACTTAGAGGAAAAGAAAAAGATTTTGGTTAATCTGCTTAAATGAAGGGACACTTCTCATAGCTCTGTTTTGGTTCATATATCACATCTCTTAGCAAGGCAGTGAAATTTTATTAGGTTACTTTTTAGGTACATGCCAATCTGAGCCTCTACTTTTTACTTCTGCTTTAGGGCTTCACTTGAATTTGAGTTCTATTTTGACATTAAAAGGCATATTCATACCTCCCAAGTTTTAAGGGGCTGTTGGTAGAGAGTCAGAAGAAAAGGGAAGAGTCAGAATCTGATTTTTTTTTTTAATGTTTTAACAGATTTAGGGAAAAGGTGTTAATTTAGTTATATTTCAGATGTCAGGGAGAAAAAAGTTTGATGTCTTCCTGAGCTAGACACATTTCAATATATTTTAACTTTTTTTCAGAAGTATACCTGTAACCTTTTGATTTCAAATGACATTTTCTCTGTAACTTTCCACTATTAAATAAGCTTAAGTTTACAGTAAAAAAAAAAATACTTGTGGATTTTCATCTTAAGTAACTGCTTTATATTGAAGTGTGTGAGGTTGTATGTATGGAAAACTCACAGGGTTCGATCAGAGATATAGCTGAGGTAGGGATTATTTTGCCAAAAATGGCAACTCTTAGATTTGTGGGGTCAATTTAAATGGTGTTTTATAAATACCATGTAGCTTTTTTTTTTTAATCACTTTTAAATTTAGTCTTCGTCATGGCTTAATAAATGTTAGTTAGAAATTAATATTAACCTCTATATTTAAAAGAACAGATATTAAGATAACTAACTTATGCCCTTCCAAGTGGCTTAATTTATGCTTATGAACCATTCAGCGACACCATAGTCCATTCTATTCCTTGTTGAGAAGTTTTACATATTAAGTCTAAAAAAAATATAAATGTATTTTTTCCTTGGGAACATGTGATCATATAACATTAACAACAGATTGATGTTATAATAGATTGAAATATCTGAAAATCAACTGTAGAGACAGATATTATATGATTCCTTTTTTAAAAGACTTTATTTTTTTAGAACAGTTTTAGGTTCACAACAAACTTTAGAGAAAGACACAGAGACTTCCGTATACCCCATGCCCAGATACATAAAGCCTCCGTCCTTATCAATCCCTAACAGAGTGGTATAAAATTGTCACAACTGATATGGAATTAATTTCAGTTCTCCTTAATAAGCTAATTATTCATTTCAGAAATAAAGTAATATACAAATGGATATTGTTTTTTATTTATATATAAATTTGTTCTGCTGATCCTTCAAGATCTGAACACTTTCATTCGTTCTCTTATAGTGTTTTTGAGAGTTATTTTTAAAATAAATTTCTGATTTCCAATTAAGTAAAATTCACAATTTGCCGAGCCACAGTATTAAAATAATATCAAAGTAAGTGAAGTTTCATTACACATTGCAGTGTCCAGCTACTTAAATTCTAGTTTTTTCTTGACTTGTGAGGAATATTTCAAATGGTGTTAGTGATTTATCTGTGGATATGCAATTTATTTTGAGGTAAGCTCAGGCTATTTTACTTGCTGCAGAATTTGTAGTCAAGAGCCACATTGAGAAATCCTATTTTCACTTGTGCTCATTGCTTAGTAAATCCTTCATGTGTATTTCCTAGGTTTCTGGGACAGATCTCAAGAAGGAAGTAATCAGTTCAATCCCCAAGGAGAATTTTTCCTTGGACTTGTCAAAGGACTCACCACTGTTTGAATATAAATTTTTTTACCTAACATTACTTTTGCATAGTTTTACTCCATCATTCTTTATATGTACACTAAGCAAAACATTTGTTTTAACTAAACAAGTGGTTATAACAATGTCAGGATAAGTTATTTCTATAGGGTGTAAGTCCCACTATTGTCCCAATGAAACTATAACAAGATTTTTCAAAGATTATTACAAATTGATGATCCTTGCATTCCCCTTATTTAAAAGACTGATTGCCAATCAATTTTTTTCCTTCAGACCAGGGATATGTGTAGTAAACAATGCGTAATTTTATCATCTTAAAATATGTTTTTCTTACTTTACTTTGCAAACCAGGACCCCCCTCACCTCCTCGGAATGCCATCTCAAATGTTAATGAAACTAGTGTCTTTCTGGAATGGATTCCTCCTGCTGACACTGGTGGAAGGAAAGATGTATCATATTATATTGCATGCAAGAAGTGCAACTCCCATGCAGGTGTGTGTGACGAGTGTGGAGGTCATGTCAGGTACCTCCCCCGGCAAATCGGCCTGAAAAACACCTCTGTCATGATGGTGGATCTGCTCGCTCACACAAACTATACCTTTGAGATTGAGGCAGTGAATGGAGTGTCCGACTTGAGTCCAGGAGCCCGGCAGTATGTGTCTGTAAATGTAACCACAAATCAAGCAGGTAAGTGTGATGTCCAGCCAAATCATGTGCCTTAGGCCAAGCTCTGTCAATTATCTTCATAGCTAAGTGAGGGCTGAACTGCGTGAGATCTGCAAGAAAGCGTCCCGTAAATTACAGGGTTAGGACTTAAAGTCAACTATATCTCAAAATGCTTTATTTAGTTTTAAACAAGTAATGGCTAAGGCTTTCTTAGTAGACTCATCCATGGACGGGGTGGGGGGGGAAGATATGCTTCAATTGAATTTTTTTATTAAAAAGACGTTGCTGGCTCAAGTTAATTTGTAGTAAAAATTTTTACCTCAAATTTCACACTTGCAATTATGATAGCTCAAATCTACTTATTTTGTTGTTTTGTTTACATTGAGTTTTTTTATTTATTTCATTAATTTAGCAGATAACCAGGCAGGTCTATTTGCTTGTTTATTTGTTCATTTGGCATCGCAGCTGAATTTTCTTTGCACATTGAAATAAGATTTTCTTATTATCTCTAATATTATTATTATAAAAATGTAAAGAATGAAGTTTTATTTGATAATCCACTTATCAAAATTAGAATAGCTGAACTATACATGAAAACACATTTATGTTCCATATGAAGATCTTGGAATTACTAGGGAGTAATTATTAAGGAGTAGGGAACACAGTTCTGCTTGAGCTAGTTTCCCCCCTCATTTCCCCTCAGATATTCAATTTTAAGCAAGTCAATATAGAGGACTTCTTTTCTGGTAAAATGAAAACCAAAGATAAACTATAGTTAAATTAATAATTCAACCTATCATGTGGCAGAAATCATTCAAAGCTTATGGGTAATTTATGACTTGTTTTTGTCAACAACAGGTATGTGGGTGGGATGAGGCATTAAATAGAACTTCCCTCTATTCCCTGGCCACAGTTCTTAGTTCATGGACATAAACTTGTCACCATATTAGTACCCCAGTTGGACTTTTTTCAGTGAGAACATCCTTGCCAGTGTTCTTATAGTAAAACAAAATGTGTTCAACTGAATCAAATTGGACTTAATTCATATACATTAGTATAAGTTTGTAGGTTGTAGAATGACTGGGTTGACAAGAGAATGCTGTCGGTAACCATGTGTTAGCCAAAATAATTTGAATTATTGAATGTGTTAGGTAAATCAAGTCATTACCTCTTGAGAATAAGAAAATGCATGCAGTTAAATTCATCGTTCCTTCTGATTGATTAAACTGAGGGAAGTATTCAAGAGCAGCTTGTATGATATGAAAGTAGTTGAGTAATTCACTAAGAATCATTCTAAATATTCTAGATATTCTTATCCGTGCTGCATAGATGTCCACAGCATTTTTTTTTTAATTCAGTGAGAGAAAAGTTTGCACACATATATGCCACCTCCCTAAGTGAATCCTTTATATTTTTCTCCATTTGCTCCCTAACCTAAGATGGAAGTAATAAAAGTGTTAAAGAGCTGGATAGGAATAGTGAAAATTAAGTTTTCCTTCACTCTAGACTCAGTTGCTGGCAATACTGGTTTGTGTCGATATTCCATCACAGTATCTAGTCACAAGTGTTCATTAAATGTGTACTGCCTTTCTGCGTCAGAAAAATGTTGGCTTTATAACATGTGATTTCAGGCTTCTCATGCAACATCTTTCAGCTTTACTTGATTCTGTGTATGAGTCTTCCATTAATATATTGAAAACATTTTGAACAATCACTAAGAGTTGCATTCCTCAGGGAGAACGATTTCTGGCTTGCATAACCTCAACTTACTTGAAAGATATTTCTCTGATGAACTAGGTATAGGAAATGACTGTATACTTTAAAGATGATGTACTTAATAAATATTTGCTCTAGTTGTCTTTGACTTGCTAATCTGTTCAGACTGCGAAGTGTGCTTTTTTGATGTATAAATACCTTAAATACCATGAAGGAATAATTTTCATCCAGCTGTTCAAAGCATGGCTATCATATAAAATAAACATTTGTATTCAGAGCAGACATTTTGGTTGCTGCTTTTTTCCAAGTTCTCAGGATACACTTACAGTAAAAGCCTTCAAACCTTTAAAAAAAAAAATCAAAACAAGAAGAGATTTTTCTTAGTGTCTAACCATTCTAGACAAACCAAGCCTCAATTTGCACAAAAATTGTTAACTTCAAGTAGCTCTTTAGATGTCTTATATTTAATATCACTATTGCTGTACATTTATCAAGTGCCGACATTATGGAAAATGGGCTATAATAGTTACTTTTTAATATTTGAATATTTTTAAGCATTAAATTGAAGCAAATTATTTGTGCCATATGTGTTTTTTATACAAAATTTCTTTCAGCAGATTTTAACTTTAGTTTCAGACTTTTTTAAGGAGGTTTTTTGAGAAATGCGTTTCTTTTGTAATAGTTTCATTTCAGATTTGTAATTTATTTTGGCATTTTCTGATTTATTTTTGTGACAACAACAAAGTGTGTTGTTGACTAAAAGAAAAAAAAGGCCAACCTAAAATAGATTAATACATGTTTTATTCGGTGTCTTACTGAGGACTATAGACCAGGAGACAGTATTTTAAGCTGCTTGAAGAACTGTTCCAAAGCATGTCAGTTTACAGAGGATTATTTGCAAAAAAGGGAAAGGATACCCATCTTTGCAGACAGTTCTCCATTGTATAGTTGTGCGTCCCAAGGTATAATTCTTTTGGTTGTAGAAATTAAGGTTTACCGATTTCCACTTAGGCACGTGAGAGACCCTTATGTTGTCATAATACATTATGTTTCTATCATATCAGATTATTCAGGATTATTACTGGCCTGCAACCGCTTAACTGGTTTTCCAGTTCTTAGTTTTGGTTTCTCCTTGAGGTCATTTGAGATGGTCAGAGAAGGTTGACATCGGTCATCTTTTGCAATTTTAGTGCACAGTCTGAAATGTCCATATTCAACATTATATTTGTAAAGTACCAGAAGAAAAACTAGCAATTTTTTTTCAAGATGAGAATCCTGCATTAAGCTAGGAACTGCAATTGATTAGGTAACCCCAACTGATTGGTCTATAAAAATAAATAATGGTTTTTGTGTTGAAGATAGTAATTAAATGACAAATTTATGGATGTTTATACAGTATTTAAAACACTTTCCCAGTCATTATATCATTATGAGGCCCACCTTACTCTTGCAAGATGTTGTCTAAATTTAAATCGTACTTTTTTACAAGTTAATTTTTTTTTTTTTTAAAGATTTTATTTATTTATTTGACAGAGAGAGATCACAAGTAGATGGAGAGGCAGGCAGAGAGAGAGAGAGAGGAGGAAGCAGGCTTCTTGCTGAGCAGAGAGCCCGATGTGGTACTCGATCCCAGGACCCTGAGATCATGACCTGAGCCGAAGGCAGCGGCTTAACCCACTGAGCCACCCAGGCGCCCCTACAAGTTAATTTAATAATAAAATCAAAATATAAAGTTTTGGGGCACCTGGTTGGCTCAGTTGATGGAGTATGTGATTCTTGATATCAGGGTTGTGAGTTTGAGACTCATTTTGGGGGTAGAGAATACTTAAAAAGCAAGGCAAAACAAAAAACTCCCCAAATATAAAATTTTAAGAAAAGCTGAATACTAGAATTAGTTGGACTTTACGGTCCTTGTAAAATGCAGCAAATAGTACCGAGGTTGACAGGAAAGCATTGTAAAATTGTGAAGGTTTTCATGGTCAAGAAAAATAAACACATCCGAAAGGGATAAAAAAAAAAAGAGAAAAAAGTAATTTACATGAAGATAAAGAAATGCTGTCTGCAGAGGAGGGCGAAAACATAGGAAAATACAATGGAAATATGTTAATTATGTAAAGAACTCTTTTAACAAATAGGTTGCAAAGTGGATAAAATGATGAAAATGCAAACCATGAATTTTTTTAAATTCTTAAACGTAGAAAAGGGATGTCCAGTGAGTTCCTCCAGCTTCCTAGTGATTTTATGTCTGTTTTATGCAATACATTCTTTCAAAAAGTTGAATTACCCATTACTCATTCCTTCTAAAAACAAGTATTTAGATTATTTATGTAATAACACTTCTGTTGTTCTTCTGTTTTGTTTGTTTATCTAAAATATCTATCTCCTAGTTAGGTGGATGGATGGATGAATGAATAGATAGATATGTAGATAGTTAGAAAGTGAGTGATACATCAAAACATAGTATGAAAATTAAATTCTGTTAAAAGCAAGTATTTTTAAGTTTCATTATTCACTCACAAAACAATGTGCATTATCATATTCTCCTATGAACATATTGTTCAAGTTTCTATTTTAAAATAATTTTGCTCTAGGCATATGACATCAAGTGCTAAAATTTAAAACTTTTAAAATATATACAAATGTATATTTTATCCCAAGAAAGAATGAGCTTATTCTAACCAAAAACAAACAAACAAACAAAACCCTCAATTACTAACATTTTAATATGCAAAGGTACAGAATTCTAATTCTGAGGTAAAATAGACCAAACTTTGTTTTGAATCAATCTTAGGCTCTTGGTTTCTGTCTTCAGAGGGTTCGGTTGACATGACATGAGCTGCAAATGCAACACACATTTTCGTGGGGATGTCCCAACCTGTCCCAGACTATCAGAGATATCACTAAGATCGTTTCTTGGCCTTTTGGCTAAGATCAAGTACCAAAATATCACTAAGAAAAATGCCCCTATGTTTTGATGGTTTGTATTCCTTGGTTCTTGCAAAGGTGTTTGGGGTAACTGATAATCCCATTTAATCAAATACTTTCAGTTTGATGCCATTCGTATAGTTGACCAGCATGATGTGTCTTAGGATATTGGGATGATCAGGATTCCCTGAAGACTGAATTATGCTGTAGAGCTGGAAATTTAAGAGAATGCTGAAATGAGATGGTAAAAGTAGGTTGTTGCCCTTGCCAAGGTGGCAACAAATGTTTTCTGGTGGTTTCTGTGTATTGAGATGTTTAAAAAGTTTATTGTCACCTATTAGACCATTACTAAACAATGGTAAAGATATTTGTTGATTTTC